CCATACGATATGCCTAAATGAAGTACGCAGCCACACCCTCTCCAGCTTCGCGATATGGAATGTATCTCAAGATATTTGAAGTCATATATACTTAGCGGTATATTACCGCATTGATCACTGAACCAAATTAAAAGATAACTTCATTTGATGAATTCACACAATTCCTTCTAGAATCACAGACAAGTGAATCGTTCACAAAATACACATCAAAGCAAAAAAAAAAAAAAGAAAAAACATTGCTGCCTCTACAATTTAAGCGCTACAACCAAGAACCAAGCGAAATGCGAAAATACCAGTAAATTAGCATCCCATCAGAAACTAATCTCAAACGGCTCTATCATATAAAGAAATCATTCATATAAACAGGTTCAGCACCTAAACAACTGGCAAATATTTTCAAAGTGATAGCGAATGGAATAAGAGAGGAAAACATGGATCAAACCCAATAAAGACCCCGTCAAAGGAAAAAAAATTCGAAGAAAACAAAGTTGGCGTAGAGTTTTGTGGCTATTCAAGCAAAAGATTTCGAATAACAATGAATAATACCGTCATTAACACTAGCCTCACTTACAAACAATAGTTCATACAAATACTTTAATCTAATTCAATATCCATTTGACCGTCCGGAAGCAATGGAACGTCACTGGAGGGAACCTGAAATTAGTCGTATCAAATTCAAAGCCCCTTTGAAGCCAGTCCTCGCGCTCAACCAATCCGTAGACAACTTTTTTTGTAAGTCTGGTCTGGTCTTTGAGGTTATCCCCCTTTGGTGGCATCACAGGAAGAAACGAAGGCGCTGCAGCCCTCCCCAGGGAAGTCCGCCAACTTACCATGGAGCTTTGAATGGAGACCTGGGTAGATCGATAGAGCTCTATAAAGTTATCTTACAAATATAAGATAGGCAAAACTGCGGACCTGATTTCACAAGCAACTTATGAGCAGTTATTTGTAACGCAGATAGGTGAGGCATTACGTTCGTCGAGTCATCAAACGTCGAACCTTACCACTGAACCACCACAACTCGATTCGATGTATGCGATTCCTCGCTTATGCTTCACAGCTCACCACCAAGCTTCCACCCTGCCGCACTACAAAATCTACCTGCTCATAAGTTGCTTGTGAAATGCAGGTAGCAGTTAGCTATCTATATTTGTAAATAACTTTATACGCTCTATCGATCTACCCAGGTGTCCATTCAAAGCTCCATGGTAGTTGGCGGACTTCCCTGGTCAGCGGCACTTCTAACGCTTCCATAGTGCTGCCCCGAAACTAGAGATGCTGGTCACGATTTACAGTTTTTTTCACAATGCTTTCCGTTTTTTTTCACTGTTAGACGGTATTAGCGTTTGGATGACGCGAGGAAGCGAATAGTGAATAGTTAGGGGCAGGATATCGTTTCGCTGGCATGAAACGAGTAGCCCTGAGAACTGCCAGGGATCTTTCTGAGGGTGCTCATCATTTTTTTCCCTCGAAAGTCACTTAGCGACCATGGGTTTGTAATTGAACACCACCTTCTAAGATATGCAATCGCAGGGTCCGTCTTTGAGGCTCAGATAAAAGAGCACACATCCAGTACGGTAACTGTTCTTTTAAACAAAGACTCCTTCAGATGTCCCCATTATCTTTTATCAGCGTCACGCCTAGCTACTTCCTTTCTGATTCTGAAACAGCAGTCACACGCTGGGAGTTAAAATCCACTCATAGTGCTTGTGAACAAGGGGCGAGTGAGAGTAGAGGAAACGGATACGGAGGAAGGAAGTAGCACGACAGTACACTCTGCTAGAACCGACAAGTAATCGTAAGCTGCCATGTGGATCGTAAGAGCGAGGCATAAAACCACTCAGACGAGATAGAGAACTCGCAATGAAACATAGGCAACGGTATACGTAGACACGATCAACGTTCACTACTCCCAACGGTGCTCTACTCGGGCAACTAAAGATCTGAAGAAAACAATGAAGCAAAAGGACGAAGCTTTCCGGGTTATTCCCTCTTTCCGAGATGCGGCCGCATTCTAGCTCTACCCAAAACCTCAACCATTACTTGAAAATAATCTGGTTCATATACTGACTTGCGCAGAATAAGGATATAGTGCTTCCTGAATTTCGAGACTGATGCCAATTCACTGGGCCTCGAAGGAAAGAAAAAGTGGAGGAGAGGGATTCAGCAGTTCGAGTCCAGCAATTTGGTGGTCGTCAAATGCCGAATCACCTCACGCTTGAGCAGACCAGGCCTCCTTGATTGCTTGAAAGATGATCTGGTATTTGATTCCTGGACCGCGCGCGTGGTAAGCGGTCTCACATGCCGCTACACCACTGTCGCTTCGTAAGGGGTGGCAACACGGAAAAATGTTGCTGATCGCCAAAAAAATAAAAAAAAACGATTGCATGCGTTTCAATTCCGAACGAAGCGGCAAATTCAGTTCAAAAATAAAAAAAGACCACGAAAAGGATATGAATAAACCTACATACCTCAATCTCTCCTTCTATCCAATCACTATCAGCTGGATACATCTCTGGCATTTCTTGCTCCAACGTTGGTGGCCCGACGTCATAGTATTCAGGGGCCTAAAACTTGTAACGTCATCGTTCAGGTAAATAATCATGTAAACAGCATGCACAAAATAGTAAACAAGGCGATAGTCACGACAAATGATCGATCAATGATCGAGCTCCTACTACTGTGTTCCTCGTACAATGAGGTCGTAAACGGTGAAGCGCTTGATATGGAGATATAAAGGAGATAAATGGTTTGGAAAACGTCGAAAATCAAGGTCAAAAACTCGTTAACAAATTTTAGCGTCTCCAAAATAGTCCAGAGAAGACCGACTACCTGTAAAATGAGACTGTAGCACAAATTGATGAAAGAACTTTGGAAAAAAAAACAACTGCTTGGTTATGTCGAGCAAATTAAAATCGTTCCATCTAAGTCCGCCACAGTAATCACCACAGAGCCTATAGGAAACTACTACACGCTCCTGTTATAGTGTTCGAATGCCAATGGTCAAGGACACTGCTGATAACGGGAGCCAAGCAACGTGACTAACGGAGGACAACAATCGCGGAGATTAAAAACAACACTTTGGTAAGCGGAACACGCATTTACCTTCATGCGAAAGCAATAAATTCTCAGAAAAAAAAGAAAACGATGAACATATCCCATTACAGAGGTCGAGATGAAAGAATGAGCATGTTTTCGCGAAAATGTCAATTGGCAAAAAAATTGGGTTAAAGGCAGTAATTTATCCCCCGGCTCAAGATAGCCTAGAGCCAACTATCTGCCCGAAGAGTGGCTGTATTGAATCGAAAGGAACTGTTTTTCTAACCAATAAAGTCGTTCAGGACGTGGAGCGCTTTTTGAAAACGGTTTTTTGCATGATGTGGGGTCACGTGCATGGAGTACCAAACTGGTGTTCATTTTTCCTGAACGCCTCTGGGAATACCAAAAAAGGAGTGAAAAAGAAGTCCATGGAAACCGACTGTTTTTGAGCCTCAGTGGGCCACTTGCAACTTTTACCAGTTGCTGAGTGGAGGGTCCTTATAAAGGTACTATAGGAATCGAGGAGGAAAATAGTCGCAAATGGGGTCTTACTTGAGGCACGTGATTAAGAGTGAGCGGCTCTGAGCGGCTCGGGAATGGTTTCTTCAACGATCGGAGCGGTGTTCAGCTACAACGATCGGATGGCCTAGTGGATAGCGTGGAGGATTCTCAATCGGACAGTGAGGGTGGGGGTTGATGGTTCGACTCCCCTCGGCTTGCGAGTTTTTGCATTTTTTATGTTCCGCTGTTCTCGCTTCAGCCCTCCCCTTCTCCTTCACCAACCAACCACGACTCCTTCGCTGGGGACCCTCGAAGTAGACCCTCTAATCCTCAACTGGACACCCTGGGCTAGTTCAAGGTCTCTGACCAGACCAGACATATCATGTTGCTGCGGAATTCACAGCTGCGCAATAAACAATAACAACACATAACTTCTCACAACATACGATCTCACCTGATGAATGATTCGTCGAGGAACTGTGACTTTCGGGATACTTGGACGTAGTTTCACTGTTTCCTTGACGAAGTGCTCACCAGTAGCTACAGGAACACTTGGGCGCAGTTTGATTGGTTCTTTCATGAAATCCTCGCCTGTGGCTGAGACAACACTTGGGCGTAGCTTTATTGGTTCCTTCATGAAATCTTCCTCGATCACTTCGGCGCGTAACAATGGCGGTGAGTCGCGTTTATCCACCATTTTCACCGGCACCGTCACTATCGCTGTGCCAGAAGGAAGTGGTTTGACAACCTGTACTCTTCTTATAGGTCCATTCGGACGGAATCCGTAGCCTGTAATAGAACACCCTATAACAAGCTACAACGAAAAGCTCAAGCTGCTACTACAATCAATCCTTCAATATGTATATGATTCGCAAAGTCTCTCTGTATCACATCTCGCTGACACATCTGCCGCTGTGACAGCCAGGGGGGGGGGTACTTCCAAGAAGTTGCGGACGGGGGGAGGAGGGTGGAACTGCACTGCTACTGGTGGGTGACAGGAACCGATAACCATTGGTAAGATCTGATAAGTCTCAATGCGGGAGTACCACCGTATTCTTAGCACACGCGATAGCAAAATTGGTGCCACTATTCCAGCAAATGAACTATAATGAGGGGTGAGAGATGAAGACAGCGAATGTTAGCGGCCACAGCATGTTGGGGATCACCAACAGGGATGGTCGTACTTGGTCGTTGGAAGTAGGAGGATCGTATTCGCCTTTAAGGAAAATGTTGGCTGCTGAAATTTTTCTTTCGATTTTTCCTGTTTCAAAAAGCTTTACCCCTTCTCCCTTCCTCCATCCCTTCCCACACGACGGCAGTTTTTTTAAGCGAGGGGGGAGAGGAATTTCTGGAAAAACACCAGAGAAAAGCTAGGAATGTGAGAATCAGAAAATTTAGGAAGATGGTTTATGGGATGGGGGACCGAGAAGGGGAATCGTACCAGAGTGGACGGGGAAGGAAAGTCGCACCAGTGAAGGGAGTTCTGAGTCGTATTTCGCAGAAATTTGCCCCAATGCCAGAATGTGTCCTGTTGGTGACAAAAAAATGATAATAACAGATAAACACTAATGAGGTAGTTTTGTTATGATAACTGCTGTTTAACGCCGCAGTACGCGTTCCGAATGTTATCACAAGAATGCTGAGTTGTGG